TAGTGCAAGGACTAATGTGATGCACTAGAAGCTTTCCTTCATTACTGCTATCCCCCATTAGAGTGCCACACCCAGTACTTGTCATTAAGTACATAGTAGTCACCTGTGAATGTTTGCTGTGTTGAATCTGTATATAGTTTCAGATACTCTTACTCTTTTTCCCATTTCATCTATCATCTATCTATCTATCCATCTATCATCTATGTATCTTTTAAAATGTTAACTAAATAGTAAATACGATATTACCATTATATAAAGTCATGTGAAGCAGAGAAAGGTAGGTATTCTGGAGCATTTGCTCTATGCTTTGGTTTGGTCAGCTGTCTTGTTTAAGTAATTACTGTCCCAAGGTAAACCGTAGTTACAGGGAGGAGATGGCTGGTTGCTCTCAGGTTTGGAATCTGGAATAGTGAGTGAGAAAATCTGAAATGATACTGAAAATTTCATTCAGATGAGGAGCATTATAAGGTTGCCTATGTATGATGCCAAAGCATCTGTATAAAAAGTATACAATTCAGTTACTCAGACTGAAATTTAGTTTGTTTAGTGACAAATATATATATTTAAAAATCTTTCTGGTTTAATTTTTTAGTTCAGACAAGATACTGTATCCTTAAGCTGAAAAACCATTTAATGACTTTAAAAAAAGGAAATAAAATCTAGGATTTAAGAAGCCCTATCAAAGTATTTTACACAGTCTTAAATGATTCCATTATTGCTTCTACAGATTTACTATGACTTGAGAAAACTTATTATCAAAACTTACTCATTCTTCTGAGGCAGAAGTACTTAATTTTGGATTGTTCTTCTTTTCAGAAGTGTTTATAACCCACTAGTGTTTATAATGTCTGGGGAAGAGGTAATACTATGACTAAATCCAAGAGGAAGGTGTTAAATATGTTGGAGCCCATAACAATTCTCACATAAGTAGTTCCTTCTAGGCCCACCAAAACTATCTACAGAATAAAACAAAAGTGGTACACATACATATGCACAGATAGATATAAACTGGTATTTCAAACAAATATATTTTATAAGATGTAACCATAAACCAAGTTTTTAAGTTTGTTAGTAATAAAAAGTTATATGGTAATATTAATCACAAAATATTGTCTCTATTTAAAAGTTAAAATACCCAGATTTGCATAATAACCAGTATTTGAACTTGATACAAAGTTGAGAGTTCTCCCTCCCCAAGCTTTTTCATACTAGCCCTGCTCTCCTACTTTTTTGACTTCATTAACTGGGTTGGGACCCCTCTAGGTCCTTACCTGAATAGCTGAGAATTTGACAGCTAGCTTTGGTGTTCTAGAAACTTAGTACATGTCTAAAAATAAGGCCCTTCTAGGTTTTACTGAACTTTGAAATTACCTTCCCCCTCCTTGCTGGAGGTGTGTCAGCTAGAGTTCCCTTACATGGATAAATGTAACTATTCCACTTTGAGTTTACCTTTTCTTCAGCATTTAGACAGCTGAAGATATTTCCCATTTTTTAAACCTGAAATCTGATTACCAATCCAGGTGGCCTCTTGGACAGGGCCTAAGATGATGGGACTTTTTTTTTTTCTGGATGACCTATGTCCATTTCATAGGAAACATTTAGGCATTGCTTCTCTTAAAGACTGACTGTTCAAACTGTCCACAGGCACCACTTCCCCTTCACTCCTCTAAACAAGCTCCAACTCTCTTGCCCTTTATATATTCCATGTATGAGTCAGACTTCAGTCTATGGTGTTCCTGATTCTGTAAGATTCTTAGATCAATTTGTCTCTCACTCAAAGCTGTATCTCAGCTTGATATGACAGGGAAATTCCTCTTTACCTATTGGGGTAGTTGTAGCAGTATGAGAAATTACAGCTCATCTATTTCTAATGATAACCTCTTCAAATATCTTTTCCTTATCTCCAATTCTTGGCACTTTTGTACACTTGATGAAAGGCAGCAGGTTCTGGGTCTATGTTTTGAGTGAGCATCTTTTATTCAAAGGTTTATGGGCACATTCTATGATTAAGATTCTTGATCTGTCAGGGTAGCAGCTGGCATGACAGCCTACTTAATGACAGTGTTTGCACAAGTCATCATACTGTGTCTGTGGGAGTGTGTGCGTGGAAGACGAGGCTGAGACAGTAGTAAATGCCTGGAGCTTGAGGAGATGGCCTCCACTCCACAGTGTGCCGCTTTTTCTCATTGTCAGTCTTTACCCTTACAAATTGAAATAGGTGTTTATTTAGCCCAACAGCCCCTTTTCTAAATGTATTTTATTCAGAAAATACTATATTTTAAATTAGTAGTTCCCGACTTGTGGCCCATAAATTATATAGGATAGGGGCATGGTGGGAGCAGGGATGATTCTAGGAGAAAATATTTACATCCACACCAGGCATTGTTCTATACGTAATAAACTGATTCTTATACAAACATGTATTACTGATTTTTAAATATAGGTAGATGTAATTAATTATATACAAGTTTGTTTAAAAGCATTACTGATAATCTAAGGGAGTTACAGCCAAGATGGAGGTATAGGTAGAAACCCTTTGCTTCCTCGCACAACCAAAAGGAGAAAAACAACTAACCTAAAATCAATAAACAACCAGAAGTGCCAGAATGTCAAACTGCACGGAACTCCATCAACCACAGAATTAAAGAAAAAATCAACCAGAACAACCAGACGGGTAACGTGGTGGATGGAAAGAAACTGAGGTGCGGCTGCGGATTGTGTGAACAGGTCTGGCTGCAGAGAGGTGGCAGACTGTGTGGGAGGGACTGACTTAAGGGGAAATAGACCCTGAGGTGGCTGTGGGCTAAGGCTGGGGTTGCCGTGGTGGAGAAACTCCCAGTCTCACATGAGTTCATTGGAAAGTGGGCTAGAGATGAGCAGGGGAGCTGCATTGTTCCCTCTCTGGCCCCTCCCCCACAGGCAGCACCACAGCACAGCAAGGAGGGTTGCCCCACCCTGGTGAATACCTAAGGCCCCGCCCCTTTAAAACTTAACAGGTGCACCAAGACAAAGAAATAGGGCCCAAGTGAAAGAACAGAGCAAAGATTCAGAAAGAGAGCTAAGTGAGGAGGATATAGCTAACCTGTCTGATGGAGAATTTAAAGCCTTGGTAATCAAAATGCTCACAAGAACTGATTGAGTTTGGTCAAAAAATGAAAGATACCCAAAATGAAATAAAGCAAAATATTCAGGGAACCAATAGTGACAGGAAGGAAACCAGTACTCAAACCAATGATTTGGAACAAAAGGAAGCAATAAACATCCAACAGGAACAGAATGAAGAAACAAGAATCCAAAGAAATGAAGATAGGCTGAGGAATCTCTGGGACAACCTGAAATGTTCCAATATCTGAATTATAGGGGTGGAAGATGGAGAAGAACAACAGCAAGAAATTGAAAACTTATTTCAACAAATAATGAATGAAAACTTCCCCAATCTGGGAAAGGGAATAGACTTCCAGGGAGTCCAAGAAGCCCAGAAAGTCCCAAAGAAGTTGGACCCAAAGAGGAACACACCAAGGCACATCATCATTAAGTTACCCAAGATTAAAGGCAAAGAGAGAATTTTAAAAGCAGCAGGAGGAAAGGAAATAGCTTTCTACAAAGGAGTACCCATAAGGCTATCAGATGATTTCTCAAAAGAAATCTTGCAGGAAAGAAGGGGCTGCAAGGAAGTATTTGAAGTCATGAAAGGCAAGGACCTAACATCCAAGATTACTCTATCCAGCAAAGCTATCATGTAGAATGGGAGGGCAGATAAAGTGCTTCCCAGATAAGGCCAAGTTCAAGGAGTTCATCCTCACCAAGCCCTTATTATATGAAATGTTAAAGGGACTTATCTAAGAAAAGGAAAGTCAAAAGTATGAACAGTAAAATGACAACAAACTCACAACTATCAACAAATGAACCTAAAAAAAAAGAAAGAAAAACAACAAAAACAAAAACAAAGCAAACTAGAACAGGAACAGAATCAGAGAAATGGACATCACATGGAGGGTTTTCAGTGGGGATAGGGAGGGAAAGAATGGGGGAAAAGGTACAGGGAAGAAGCAGCATAATTGGTAGGTATTAAATAGATGGAGAGAGGTAAAAAATGGTACAGGAAATAGAGAACTCAAAGAACTTACATGTGCAATCCATGCACATGAACTAAGGGGAGATGCTGGAGAGGTGGAGGGTTGGGGAGAGTTGGAGAATTAAAGGGAGGATAAAGGGGGAAAATTGGGAAAACCATAATAGCATAATCAATAAAATATAATTAAAAATAAAGGTAAAAAAAGGAAAAAAAAGAAAAGCATTACTAAGGTTATAGTACCTGTTTATTTTTATTGTTTTATTCAACAAAGTAATTTTCCTGTGGGAATGTAGATTTTTAAAAAAGTTTCAAGTTTCCTAACTTGAAAAAGTTAGGAAAGAGTTGGCGAAAGAAAATAATAAGCACAGGACACTGATAACTTGGCACAAAGAACTATTTTTATGAAAAACCAAACTTGAGGATCCCATACATTTTTCAATTTTTAAAAAATATATAGAAAAATTTGTACTTTTAAATCTTCCATTGATGGAAAATTCTCTACCTTTTAGAGAGAATTTTATCAGAAAAAAATGTATAAAGAATAATTGTAGGTTTTGGAATAAGAAATCTTAGTTTAGAATTCTAGATTGCAGGCTTTTAGATTTGTTTATTAACTCATTATCTCTTCAGAAAGTTGTAAGTACAACAATAAAGACTATGACTATTGTATTTATTAATGTACTTCCAGCACATGAATCTTTGCCAGGAATTTTAAAAAAGAGCATACAAAATCTCCGGGTTCAGAATGCCCCAGCCAAAGGCCACTAAAGAACAAAGACTGTAGTAAATGTTATTAGCCATAAGACATTCTCTCTGCCAAATGTTATCTGATTCCTTTCCTTCCTCCACTGTCAAAGTTCCTAACTTTTCAACAATGGGAAGTTAAATCCATGTGACTGGAAAGCCAGGTGTCATGAGTACTTACCACAAGTGACGAAATGAACAATGAGTCCGATGATTACTGCAGCAATCACCAGTATTATGACACCCAGGGTAATCTTTCCACACCTTGTGAGTTTAATTTTTGTGTTTGACTCTGTTCTTCTGAATGGAAAGAACAAGAAAGCAAGTGTTAACAGTAGTAAGATATAGAATTCTCTTAGCAATAAACATAAATTTGATGTTAAGTATAAAAGTATATTATTTTTCACTAATTATGGATTCAGTAGACTGCTGAGCTTGGAAGACAACATGTAGAATTAGTGAATATAATAATTGGCCTGCTTATTTTTTAGCACATATGAATAATGACGGTAATACTAAAATCAAAATTCATTTATTCAGCAAATATTTTAGATGGTCTACTATTCATTAAGCACAGTTTTAGAAAAAAGACCTCTTTCCTTATGGAGCTTACATTTTACTGAGTGAAGATAGACAACAAACAAAGAGTATAATTAATAAAATTCATAATTCTCAAAACAATATGAAGTTCTGTAGGAAAAATAGAGTTATGTAAAGAAGATCTAGATGAAATTGCCAAGGGAATAAATGCAGATAAGGAAGAAGACTGAGATGTGGTCAGTGGGGTACTCCCATATGAAGAGATTATAGAGAAGAGGAAGACCCAGCCAAGGAGACAGGAAACAACTGGTGAGAGTAGGAAGGAAACAAAGGGAAAGTGGTGTCCTGGAAGTCAATAGAAGTGTCTCAAGTATGAGGAAGAGAGTCAACTATGTCAGATGTTGCAAATGGGTCAAATAAGATGAGCAAATGAACACGGAAAATGGACTATTGCATTAGCATTCTAGAGGTAATTGCTGACCTTGATGAAAGACATTTTAGGAATGGAAACTCATTAGAGTTGATATGAAAGAGTGGTAAAGGAACTAGAGACAATGACCATTGACCCCTCTTTCGAAGAGTTTGATGAAATGGGAAGTGAAGGAATAAGACTATACCTGATGAAGAAAATGGGATAAAGAGAAGGCTTATTTTATCATGGAAAAATTTAAAGTATACTTGAAAGTAGAGAAAATAGTTTAATGAACCTCCATATGACTATCACATAGATTTAAGAGCTATGAACATTTTGCAACATTTCATGTATTTTTCTATTTTAGAGTAGTTACAGAAAAATATTTCATTATGACATTCACCCCTCAATGTTTTCCCTTTAAAAAGTAAGGATATTTAAAAAATGTGACCATTGTCATACCTAATGAAATAAATAATAATTCCTTAATATCTTCTAATACCAAGTTCATATTCAGTATTTCTACTTATCTTTAAAATGTCTTTTACAATTTTTTATTGTTGAACAAAATTAAATCAAAATCTCCCCATTACATTAGGTTATTATATTTCTTATATCTCTGTTAATCTAGAATGGCTTTTATATTCACTCTCCTTTTGTATTTTTTATGACACTGACTTGAAGATACTGGATCACTTGTCTTATGGAATGTTTTGCCTAACAGATGACCTTTGTTTATTTTTTTCCAAAACACTTTAATTAAATGTTTCATTTTGTGATTTTAACTCACATGCAGTATATGAAATAATCTCTAGAGAAATCCCTTGAACACTTTACCCAGTCTCCCCCAATGGTGACAACTTGTAAAATAATAGTACAATATCACAATCAAGATATTTACATTGACACAGTCAAGATACTTAACATTCCCATCACCACAAGGGTCCCTCATGCTGCCTTTGTATAATCATACCTGATTGGCTCCTGCCTCCTTTCCCTCCTTAACCCCTGAAACCACCGAACTGTTCTCCTTTTCTATAATTTTGTCATTTCAAGAATTAATATAAATGGAATCATATAATATGCAACCTTTTGAATTTTATTTGTTTTCACTTATCAAAATTCTCTGGTGGTCCATTCAAGCAGTTCTATGTTTCAATAGTTCTTTAAAATATTAGACATTTTTGAGAAATAAGTCCTAATATAGATATGTCACATTTTGTTTAATAATTTACTCAGTAAAGGACATGTGGATTGTTTCCACTTTTTGGCTGTTAGGAATAAAGCTGCTATAAAACTTGCTATGTATAAGTTTTTGTGTGGAAATAAATCTTAATTTCCATGGGATAAATGTTCAGAACTGTAATTGCTCAGTCATATGCAAGTTTTATGTTTAATTTTTAAGAAACTCCCAAACTGTTCCTCAGAGTGGCCGTAACATTTTATATTCTTCTGACATGTGTAAGTGACCCAGCTCCTGTGCATCCCTGCCTACATTTTTTGCTATAACAACTTTTTATTTTAAATATTCTGGTAGCTATGAGGAAATATCCTGTGATTTTACTTTTTATGATGTTGAATATCTTTACATGTGCTTATTTGCCGTTTGTATATTCTCTGAAACATCTATGTCTTTTTCCTAATTGGGTTTTCTTTTTTTGTGCTGAGTTTTAAGAATTCTTTATATATATTCTAGATCCTAGTCCTTTGTGGGATTTGTGTTTTGTGAATATTTTCCCCAGTTTGTAGCTTGTCTATTCATTTTCTTAACAGTGTTTCACAGAGAAAAAGTTTTACATTTTGATGAAGTCTGATTTCTCATACAAGTCTTATGGATCATGATTTTGGTGTTGAATCTAAGAGCTCTGCCTAGCCCTAGATAGTTGGCAAAGATATCCTCCTATATTATTTTCCTTAACATTTTGTATGTTTTATTCCACAATCTACTTTAAATTATTTTTTAAAATTAATTTTAACTTTGATCTTAGATAAAAGGCCAAGAAGCAATTAGAATTAATTTTTATATGAGGCAAGATACTTAAGTTGAGATTATTTTTTGTTCCTTTGGCTGTCTTCTTGCTCCAGTACTACTTGCTTAAAAGACCATCTTTCCTCTTTTGAATTGCTTTTGTACCTTTGGCAAAAATCAGTTGGGGATACTTGATATTGTTTCTTGGTTCTCTTCTGTTTCACAGATCAATGTGTCTCACCAGTGCCATACGATCTCCATTATGATAGCTGTATAATAAGTCTTAAAATCAGGGAGACTGATTCCTCCCAATTTATCTTCTTTGTCAAAATTGCTTTTAGTTATATTAATTCCTATGAGTCTCCCCATAAACTTTAAATAATTGTATCTGTATCTAAATAAAAATCTTGCTTAGGTTTTGATAGATATTGCAGTAGAACTATATTAGTTTGCAGATAATTGAAATCTTTACTGTGCTGAATCTTTCAATCCATTATTACAGTATGTCTTTCCATTTTGTTAGGTCTTTGATCTCTTTCATCAGTGTTGCACCCTGCACATAAAGTAAATTCTTAATATTTCTACAGAAATATAATGTCTATGAACTTTTGGGGTCTATAATAAAAAAATTTTAAACACCTGAAAGACATCTCGCTATGTAAAAATTTAGGAGAGAACACTTTCCCAATCTGACCAACTCACTTATTAAATCTAAAATAATGTTTACATGTTTTTAAAGATTTTGTATTTATTTATTTTTAGAGAGGGGGGCAGGGAAGGAGAAAGAGAGGGAGAGAGATATCAATGTATGGTTGCCTTTCTCATGTCCCCCACTGGGGACCTGGCCTGCAACCCTGGCATGTGCCCTGACTGGGATGGAACCAGGGACCCTTTGGTTCACAAGTGGGCACTCAATCCACTGAGCCACATCAGCCAGGGCATGGCTTACATTTTTTGGAAAGAAAACTGACTAATCATACTATAAAACTCAATTTCTTATAGATGAATAAAATATTCTAAAGCAACTTTTTCATACTCATGGGTGCATGTCTCTGTATTTTACTCAACACAATTTGCCATGGGATAAGCCTCAAAAAATGTAATAAATTGAGTATGAATTTTATGTAGTAAACATTTAGAGTATATTTTTCTATTCTTCTCAGCCATGTCCTTCTAATAGATTAAACCATATAAAGACACTGCATTTGTATATGAAAAAATTGAAGGTTGGCAAATTTCATGATAATTCACTTATACACAGATAAACTTCATTTATTGTTTCTCCTTCTTAATTTGTCTATATGGTGATGTAACTAGAATGAGACATACATAACTTTTTGGAAGTAGAAGGAACTTTGCAAATCACCATTCTAGTTTTCTAATTTTAAAGAAGGGAAATTGTAAAATGATATTTTTGCTTTAAGTCATTTCAAATCTAGGAAACATAACATGAATTCTAGGTAGCTATTTCTCCTCTGGTTATTATTAGTATATTTAGGGTTTGGTTTAGAGCTAAGATTAGGGTTTGTTTCTGATCTTTTTTTGAGGGTGATGGCTATGTTTTCAATTTTTTTATTGTTGTTTAGTTACAGTTGTCCCACCTTTTCCCCCATTGCTTTCCCCTGCCCCATCATGCTCCCCACTCCCAGTCAACACCCCCCATTTTCAGTGCCCATGAGTTCTCTATTCATGTTCCTTGACTTGCCCCTTCTCCTTCTTTCCCCTGTTATCCTCCTCCCACAAACCCTCTAAAATTAAATCATATAAGCCACTCTAACTTGCAACACTCACTTATCTGTTAGCCAAAATCTAATATCATTACAGTGACTTATCCATCTTAATTCATAAATGTAAAATTATGGTAATAAATAAAAATTAATTTAAAGGCAGGTGAACTGAGTGTTTATTTCTGTCATTCTCACCTGAGTTTTCTAAGATTATATATGTATATATAATTATATATAATATATACTATATTATATAATAATATATATTCTTCCTACTTTCAAAGTGTTTAATTGATCTGAAGTTTTCTCTGTGTGTATATGTATGTGTGTGTACATGTATATTTCTAATTTTAAAGGAAAATTCAACTTTCTCACTGTTTAGATTGTTTACAATGTTCTTTAAAAACAATTTCAGACATACAAATTCTATTTTTCTTAAAGTGTTATTATGTAAGATGTTGGTGGAAAATAGACTACTTATTATTTAACAGAAATTGAGTCTTAGGAGAGAACTTAAAGGAGGAATAGAAAAACTTGTTTTGATCTTAGCAATTTGCCACGATTTCCTGAAGTATTATATATTTTTATCAAATGTACCCTGAAGCCATTTAGGTAAAATAATGATAAGATAATAATGATATGAAGGATTATTAGGCATGTCAGAAACAGTGGCTTTGATAGTAAGTTCTACTTGAAAATTATTAATTCCTTTAAAGGATGAAACCAGGGTCTGATTTCTCATGTATTGTTTATGGAACAAAAGGAGCACAGCAAGTTAACATGAAGAACATGGAACATATTACTTGGAAGTCAAGATTAAATAGTTTACCAGATTTTTAAAAAATGAAATCAAAATGATTAATAGGAACTTCATTTGATGAAAAAGATTTCAGAGGTTCTCTTATAGCTGACTAAACTAAATATTGAGGTGAATGTGTAAAATGGCTGATTGTTCAAACTGTTTATCAGGAAGGTACATTCGGCTCAATATTATACTCTACTTGGAGGGTAGTTGTTGGCAAGATATGAAAATCAGAAAAGTCATCTAAAATTTTTATTAAAAATGTATGTTAAGCTCAAAAGGTTTATCAAGGCCTGTGTTTCCCAGGAAAGACTGTAATATATATGTGAACATTTATGTTTGTGAGCAAGTTTGATCACATTAAGAATCAAAAGATAAACATTATTTGCACATCTTTGTGTGCTATGTAATCAGTCAACACATTTCTTTGACTTTCAGGCAATTCCTATCTGACCATATGGCACTGCTAGTGGAAAGCCGTTTTCAACTACGGGGTTAAATCATGCCACTAAAAATGTATAGCAGTGCAGTGTTGCAATGTTTCAGTAATAAAAATTAGGACCTAAACTTCCTGTAGGTAAAACAGCATGTTATGAACACAAACATTGTCTCTATATCAACATACATTGTGAGAAATTGATGTAACTACCTTGTAATCTTTACATTTTCTAAGTGAAATTATCTTTTTAAAAGTAAATTCCCCCAGTTTTACTTCAGCAATTTCAGCAATTATACATATACTTTCATGAATGGTCCAATTGTGATGGTAAGATTTTTCACAAAAAATTCACAAAACAAATTTTAATGATTAAAATTTATCAGTCTTACTCATTTTTGTTTTTCCTTTGTGATTTATATTACTCTCATTTTCATAAAAATAGTTGAGAGTGTAATCTTGTTTTTAAGAACTTTAAAATACAAACAAAGCAACATTAATTTTGTCACTTCAGAAAGTTGACCCGAGAATCAACAGCTGGCCATCCTGCAGCCCAGCCCTTCTTCCCTTAAGCCTACCTGTTCTGCAGGGGAGTCCATGCCAGCTTCCTCCTCGGAGTTTGCTCCTCTGCCATCTTCTCCTCGAGTGCTGTGCTGCACAGTCATTCTCCATCTATTTAGCTTACAAGATCCTGTGACTTTTATGTGTTTTATGATAATATTATAATAATAATACTTAGCAGTTACACAACTTTTCATCTTCAAAGTGCTTTCTGAACACTTGCTAATTAATTTTACATTAGTAAAACATGAGCTGTATAGGTGCTGCTCCATAAGTAATAAATAATCACATGACCCAAGTGGAGGCAAAATTTAAAACTCTCAGTTATGAGTGAGTAAGCAATAGGGCCACTGGGTTGGAGAAGGACAGTGAGCCTTTACCCAGATTTTGTATTTTGTGAATCTGGAGGTGAGCAACTGCTCTTCTCACTCCTTTGAATCCACTTCCAAAAACACTGGCAGTTTCATTATTACTTTTTTTTTGGTGGAAGGCCCGTGGCTGTCCAAGCTCTAACCCTCCATTAGGATATGAATGCTCTCCAACTCATAATGCTCTTGTCTCTTTCAACCCCTATATCATCTTTTGATGAATTCCTTTCTGAAATTTTTACAGTGACCCTAATACTAGTGCTCATCAAAGAATTTTATATTCCCTGAAATCCAAAGGATGTTGATTTTTTATTACAAAATATAAAGGTTTAACTAGTAATTTTCCAAAGTTTTGGATAGCAGTATGGGTCTTGGCAGCCAATTTAGATACTGGTGTGAAGACTAGATAGGACACAGCATAATGTTTAGATTGCCATGTGATTAAAATAATTGTGACTCGCTATGTGAATCAAGTTATGCTGGAGGAGAAAGATTCCTTGGGTAATAGTTTTTGTTAAAGAGACTCAACCTTATTATATGATCAAGTAGAATCATTATTCCACCTAGGCAATCTCCTTTCTTCCCAAAACATGTGAAAGAAAAGACAATCAGAAAAAATACTTGCACTAAAACTAAAAAGAATCACAATGGCATTTCTTGTATTAGTTATTAATAAGACCCTGATCAGATATATTTACATGCTTAAAAAAACTTCCATTTTAATTATATTTATTTGAGCATTCTAGGCTGTATGCTTTTACCCTGTCTTCAAAATATCTAGTTTGTTCTCACTCTCATTTGTCTGTGTAAATCCTACTTAGCCTTCAAGGTTAGATCAGTCCTTCCTTTTTCCATGTGACCTTCTCAATATGTATTGTTGTACCATCTGAGGCTCACAAATTCGTGGGATCTTCCACCAAAATCTATACAGAGTTCAGGGTACATAAGACCAGGGATAAAATAGTAAAATTCCTATGTTATTGTCTTACAATGGTCTTTGGTGATCAAGAAACAAAATATTTTAATACAGGATTGACTAATTCTAAGTCAAAGAAGTGTGTTGACTGATTACATAGCACACAAAGATGTGCAAATAATGTTTATCTAAACCTTTTTCCTTCACTGATAAAAATTTTTGTTGGATAAATAATCTGTGGGACATCCAGACAATGGAATATGACTCAGCACTAAAAAAAACAAATGAACTATCAAGCCATGAAAAGACATGGAAGGAACTTAAATGCATATTACTGACTGAAAGAAGCCAATCTGAAAAGGCTATATACTATATAATTCCAACTATATGACATTCTGGAAAAGGCAAAACTATGGACACAGTAAAATTATCAGTGGTTGCCAGAAGATAGGGTAGCGGTAAGAGGAATGAAATGCACGAATCACAGAGGGCTGTGGAAATAGTCTGTATGATACTATAATGATTGATACATGTCATTATATATTTGTTCTCACTCATAGAATGTAGAAAACCAGGAATGAACAATAAATTAAACTATGGACTAGGGGTGATTATGATGTGTCCATGTAGGTTCATTAATGGTAACAAATGGGACACTCCGGTGAACAAAGTTGATAATGGGCATGTGTGGGGCAGGAAGTATATGGGAAATTTGTGTCCCATTCTCTCAATTTTGTTGTGAACCTAAATCTTCTTTTAAAAATAAAGTCTTTAGCCTTTGCTGGTGTGCCTCAGTGGTTGAATGCTGGTCAGTGAATCAAAGGGTCACTGGTTTGATTGCCAGTCAGGGCACATGTCTGGGTTGTGGGCCAGGTCCCCAGCTGGGGAGGGGGTGCTCAAGAGGCAACCATGCATCAATGTTTCTCTCCCTCTCTTTCTCCCTCCATTCCCCTCTCTAAAAAATAATAAATAAAATCTTTTAAAGATAAATAAAAAAATAAGTCTTTATAAAAATGTGTTGCATACCTACTATGGCTTTGGCACTATGTTAATTATTGAATTACAAGTTATAATCTTACAATAAAGACAGTCAAATAAACTGGTGTTTAATACATAAGATAAACCATAGGTGGAACATTCATGGAGTGCTATGTGAACATGGAAGCGAAACCAAATCCCACTGTTGTGGGAGGGAGTCAGAGAGGAGTACTCAGAGGATGTGATATCTGACTCAAGACCTGAAGGTGAACAGGAATATAATATTTCCACAGGTGAGAGTAATTAATCAATCAGCCCTGTAAAAAACTGTTGGGAACCGCCCTGACTGGTATCAGAGGCTGAAACCCCCGCCTAGCTAAGGCTAAGGGAACTGTAAGCCAGCAAGGAGACAAAAGCTTATCTTCCTGGCAGGAATGCTGCTTCTGCTGCTTTATTCATAACTGAACCCCAAAAAGCTTGGTCGGTTAGCCAAAGACGGGTAAGATTCCCCATGGGGGGAACGACCTAAGCCAGGCACGATCACTTTGGGAGGCCCCCCAAAAGAAGGACTTGGGGGGCTGCAGCAAAAGGGGGTGATGGACCCTCGCTCCTTGGCTCTGACATAGCCTGAGTTCTCAGAGTCTGGGAGAAAATCTCCTTATCTCTTGGTTGCCTTAGTTCCCTTGCTCCACCTAAGCCTGAAACAATGACAGGGTAGTACAGCTCGGTACTGAGAAGTGCGGATTCCCGGGGTGATCAGGCCTAAGAAAGAACATGTAAATTACTGTGAAACCTTCTTTGTTTAGAATGCTCTCAGTTGAATGAGAAGGGTCTTAGGAGGAAGTTATTTTGTTCCTCAGTCTTACAGCTCTTTGACCCCCCAACTCAATAGACCGGCAGAGTTCTTTGTTTTCTATAGTTCCTTACTTCCCCCTAATGAGTACTGTACTTTGCCTGAATTATTATGCAAAATGAGCCTAATAAAAGCAGGTATGGACGGTAAATCAGCGCGCTCCCCACTAGGGGGGGTGGCCATTTTGTCCCTACTTCCCCACAGAAACTAGTTTGTCTCTGTGCATGTGTCGTTTTTTCGCGCGTGTTTATCGTCGAGCCATCCACAGTGTTCCGTGGTCACTGCTGGCCGGTGACCCACACGCAACAAAAAACAAGGGAGAGCATTGTAATTTTGGGTGATTGAAAATTACCCCCATGAAATTTGACCAAGCTATAGAGGGTACAGGAGTGTGCATATGTATATGTGTGTATAGGGAGGAGAAGCTGATGGAAGATGAGGGGGGAAATAAATGCAGTGCTAATGAAGAGTTTAAATATGGTTAGATTGACATGTGGTGAAAATAATCCTGACTGGCTATGTGAAAAAGAGACTGGATTATGGAGGTGGAAGGAAACAGCCTTTTACTCATCCATGTGGAAGGGCTTTGGATTAAGGCAGTGAGATTTCTAGACTCAGATAAGACTTGATAGCACTTAATGATTGATTGGATGTGGGGGTTATGGATTTGAGGAGTCAAAAACAACATTGATGAATGCTTTTATGAATGTATAATTTTGACAAAGGCACGTATGATACCTTGGTGTACAATACAGCAAACAATGAGTTGTGTGATAGTGGCTCACTTCCCAGAATGTTAAACAACTTTATCTAAGTAGTGTTGATAATTGGCCCTTTGCATCATGAATCCAACCACCCTTGGGTTGCAAACAATATAGCTGACCCTTGAAAACACAAGCTTGAACTGTGTGGGTCCAAATACGCATGGATCTTTTTCACTGGATCTTTTGGCCCTTTGTATCTGCAGGTTTGATGACCATAGATTCAACCAACTGCAGACAGGAAACGGATTTTTGCTTTCACAAATGGAGTTTCCCAAGCATGACTGATTGAGTCAATAGACCCAAAGCCTGACTGTAGTTCAGTTCTGGGGAGCCAAAAGTTTTATGTGAATTTTCCATTGTTCTGGGGTTGGCACCACTAACTCCCCTAACTCCATCTTGTTTAAGGGTTAACTGTATTTCAATTCACAGTTAGGAATCTATAGTTGGGCATTCAAAAATATTGTTTTAGATTCTTGATTGGTTGAATCTGCAGATGAGAAACCTGAAGATATGATGGGTCAAATGTATTGAAAAAAATCTGTGTATAAGCTGGGCTGTTCAGTTCAAATCCTTGTTCTATATTTTACTTTTATTTTCTTCATTTGCATATTATAACTCTAAGTATACACTTTAAAAGCTATCACTAAAAATCAAGCAACCAACCATTGGCTTAAAGTGAGAAAAGTTTAAAAACTAATTTTTAAATGAATATTAACTGATGCATTGAAATATAAACTATGGTACATCTCTGCTACGTACAATTCCACTGTGTAAATGTACCATAGTTATTTTTTCTAATCAACAAAATGAACAAGCAAGCAAAATATAACCAGAGACATTGAAATTGAGAACAGGCTGACAGTGACCACAGGGGAGAGGGGAGGGGATAATGGGGGAAAAGGGTGAAGGGTTTGCAGGAACAATTATAAAGGACACATGGACAATAACAAGGGGGGGTGGAGACTGAGGAAGGAGGTGGGGAGGGCTTAGGGCTGGAGGTTTGGGGGGAAAGGCAGATAACTGTAGTTGAATAACAATTAAAAATAAATTTAAAAATAAGCATTTAATAAAAAAGAAAGAAATATAAACTAAATGAAATCTAAAAGCCTTTGATAATTATCATGAAACAAAATAAAATGACATTAAAATTTAATGTGAATAAACCCTAATACAAAATTGTTTTATATGTTGTTGAGAGGATAGGACCGGAGGTTGACTCACAAGC